TTATTACGAGAAATAAAATTAAATTAACGTGGCTTAAACATAATCAAAATTATAATACACAGGTTGTAATTAGTTCAAAGCAGTGTAATAAGTTAGGGATGATTAGAATTTAATGAACTTTATATGTAAACCAGAATATTTTATAAGCGAGAAATTTGTAGATATAAGAAGAAAGTTAAGGGAACTTTGGGATAACTTTTCTTAAGAATGTTTTTGACATTAAAGAAAAGACAAATTCAAAATCGTTTACTCTGATTTTATGTATACATCAACAAATAGTATAATGAGAAGAAATGGTTTAATAGAAAACATATAAGTTATAATCATATACATGGGAACGGAATGCGTTGAATTCTTAATGCTATGCTATTTTTTATGACATCTGAATTGGGGGTCAACCATCTTGAAAATCTTGTAGTTTTTATGAGTTCTACTAAACAGAGAACAACACCGATCTAAAGTGAAGAAAAAGATTGATAATGTTCAGAATTTCAATCGCTAGACCAACAAAAAGCAAATTAAAGGAATTATAAGGTATTGCTACCTTGTCGACATTGGACTTAGACTGCATTAATTCTTTTAATTGATCAAATACTAAAAAAGAAAGCTCTGATAATGAAAGAATGTTGTCAAATACAGAATCTATAAATCAATATCTGTAGAAACAGAAAATTTTTATTCACGTGTAGTCTTGATTGTGCGTACTCCGTAAAGCAAAAATATTTCAGAGAAATAGAAACTGTTGCACGTTATGGACTTTCAAATAACTTCTCCAAAACTGTTGAATATGTAGACAGCAGATTTCAGTTGTAAATACTAAGAAGTTTGACAAATATTGTAAATTCTAAGAAGTTTTTCTGATATATTTTTTATTGACCCTGAATCATTCGGTGTAACATTAGTCGAACTATCTTAAAACATCCTAAACGTAAACTAAGTGAAAAACGAAATTTGATAGCAACATTACTAATTGTTTCTTTTTCAATTGTTTATGACAAAGCAAATGAGAGATATTTACCTTAAGAAAAATGCTTTTACTGAAGACATTCTAAAGAAAACTAGTTCACATTTATAGTGTTCATGGTCAAAATCATGAAAAGCCCATTCAGTCAGACCCTTTGGCATAACATAAAGTAAGTCGAATCAGCAGACGTCTTACACAGTTGTTTTAAAAGACAGCAAAAAGCCAGACTTGTGATAGCGTTCATTTAAGTGAATTATTTTATTAATTTATAATTAAATATTTGCTTATTTTTAATTGAAAAATCTATCATTATCCATATAGTGTACATATATATATATGTTTACAAAATACAATGAATACAATGAAAAAATACCCATGCTTTCTTTTTCAAAGAAACTATCTAGAATATCTAGCGTCTTAAAGTGTTTACACCTCTAAACATTTCGTATTGCTGCTGAAAAATATTATAGATAGTATGGATTGTTCGTATAGCTGCTGCTGTATGCTAAATGCACACACAGGAAGAAAATTAAGTGTCATACATGTATATATTTAATTTAAAGCACAGGCTCGTCAAAATATACATGTGCTTCCTGTTAACCGTTATTTCTACATCAATATTTATATAAGTGTCACTTCATTACTTATTCATTTTCCATATAATGTGTTCTGACTTGAAATAGTTTTGTAAAGGAAATGACACAAATACATAAAATGTGTTAATACGAAATGGAAAATTCACGTGGAATTAGACGTCAAAGAAATTTTTCTTGACAGTTGGAATGGTGGAGAAAAGTGACGCTGAATCATTGAATTAAAACTTATATTTTTCTTGCCTGATTTATAATTAGTACCTATTTTTTAATAAAAACAGAGATTTCACTACACAGTATGCATTAAAAATGAAACGTCCAAATTTTTATTCTGGAAATGGTTTTCATGTGCACTGCTCATAAAATGATAGAAGCCTTCTTTTTCTAGAGAAAAGAAACCACTCGAAAAATTATTTATTGTTTTAGGTACTATATGTATTTAAATGCACTGCGACATATAACTTTGCCGACTTATCGTGTAATTATTAATTTATTTTTAACTCAAAAAATTGCTTTCCTGTGATAAACCGTGCATCAAAAATAATTCAGGTTTTGCTGTGTACTCGTAAAATATATTGTTAAATAGCACAAAATGTTTGTTTAAAAATATTGAAAACTTTCGAATTCATATTACTCCCAAAAGGACGTTTTTTCTCATTTACACATACCTACATGTTTCAACATCATTTGGACTAACGCCTATTTGGGCACTGCTTGCTTTGAAACCGTTGAGTTTCTTAATATAATATTCGTTGAAGTTTAAAAAGTATTAAATAGATAATAAATCAATTTCGAAATTCAAGTTTCGGCCTTCCATTTGCCCATATGCGGGTGGAGGACTACGTTCTTCAAAATTTGACGACTCTAGGTATTTTTGTTTTTTCACAGTGCGAGAAGCATACATCCATTCATGCAGATTCCTCGTTATTTAGTTTCTTTAAATATAATACATATTTGGTTGCAATTTTTGAAATTGATACATCCGTTTATAGTGATTCGACCCAAAATGCCGTTACAAGATTAACAGACCATCTGGGCTAACGCACTTTTGGGCTAAAAAATAAGTTACTAAATATCATTTAGTTTGATAAAGATATTCAAAGGTGAAGACTGGAGTTTTATAAACGTTTTTAAAGCTTTACTGCTTATAGATATGTTTCATTTCATTTATTTATTGATATAAGGTAAAAGATATAAAATCATTGACAAAGGAATTTGGAAAATCTATTTATTGGTATCCCTGAATCTTCAGATTATTGTTATATAATGACTGTATGAATATTTGTATCATGTTTACGAAACAATTGTGTCAAAATTATATAAAATATAAATCATTTTTTCCAGTGATAATATTTTTTTCCCTTGGACAATTTTAAATCATACTGCAGTATTTTTCCTTTCTTTCATATTGTCTGCCGATTATCAGACTTGTTTGATGAAATATAGTTGCATAGATGTTATATTTCCATGAGACTTAATGTTTGCAATTATTAAATGTCTATATAAATGAATGCATATTTATTCCTTAAATGCTTACTTTGTAAAGGCTTATATAATGAAATTTATGTCGTTTCATGAGAAGGGGCTATTAAAAATGACTAAAATGACAACATAGCTTTTCATAGGATAATCATAAACTTTGTAGAATGCTTCTAAGAATTTGTAATGCACTTTTATTAAAAGTATGTATAATATTTTTAATAAAAGTATTATACATACTTTAACTGCGACATACTTTGTTTTGTATGACGTGAAGTATGTCGACAAAAGTATGTCGCGGTGTTCATTTAAGCTGAAAATCTTTATTTCATTCATTTAAGCTGGCAGTGTTTCCGTTCGACTAGCTTTTCATATTCAGCTGTGCGGCCTGATTTTAAAATACTTTGTAATTCAGTCTGAAATGCTGTCTTCAAACACAAGAAACATTTCTACTATACCTGTTTCTCTTCTATTTAAATTTTAGTGTGATATTGTGATGTAATAAACTAAACTTAGACTTATAACCAAGGCGCCATAATTTTAAGCGTTTAATCTTTATTTCTAAAATGCAATCACATTTTATTATTCATGTTTTGTTTAGCCCAAAGCGGCTTTGTCCCTGAGAGAATATTGCTTTCGTTTTGCGATTTTGCGCGGATTCACTCTGAATGACCGATTCACTTTTCAAACTGTTGCTACCAAATATTATCGCCCTGTATTATATTTGAAGAAATTAAATAACGAAGCATCTACATAAATGTATGTATGTTTCTCGCATTGGGGTAAAACAACGGTACTTAGAGCCGTCCAGCTTTGAATAACCTACGTTTCCACCCGAATATGGACATCTGGAAGCCCAAATTTGGAATTTGGAAATTGTTTTTATCTGTTTCATATTTTGTAAATCTTTAAAGAATTTTTTTAACAAACTCAACGATTTAAAAGCGAGCAATGACAACACTCAACGGAGGGGGGGGGGACCTTTTTATCTCCAGCTCGCGGAACTGTGCATCCGAAATTCTAAAGATATGCACATTTTAAAATTATTTTGCGATATTGCTGTTGAACTAAATTTTATGGCTAAAGTGAAAAGAACATGATATTTAATAAATAAAGGTAGCACACAAAATGTTGAAAAAGGCCCCTTTGGAAGTAATTTAAAATCTGAAACCTTTCAGATTTGTTTTTTTTTAACCAGTGCGGGCCCTCAGCCGACTTTGGCTTGGCCACTACTAAGGCCCACTTAATTATGAAGGCACCTAATTGGTGGGCCACTTTTGCCTCCAGTGAAGGGAGGGACAGTTGAACCCATGTCTTCTCCGGGATTCGAATCCGGGCGCATTGGTATTGCAATCGGCTCCCCTAATCGCTATATCGTCTGGGTGGCTATTCGCATTACAAACAGAAAGAATTCCCAGCTTAAAGCCAGAAGCTTAAAGCCAGAAGACAAATCATCCCCACAACGCCTGTACTAAAGTTGACACTTAATTTTTCACTGGCTGTCTACGTCAACATCGTTAAAACGTTATTTTTCCTTTTATTTTTTATATCAGTTTTTTGTTTTCCTAAAGGTCTTTTTTTTAAACTTTTTCTTAATTTTGCCATTTACTGTGTTCTGAACTCTTGTGTTGCTGTAGCTACTTTCCATTTACTGTTTGCCTGTTATTTTTAGAACACTCGGTGGCGCGTTTGAAAACCGTGAGGATACAGAAGTAATATCATAATTCAATGAACTGAATTTAAAAGTAATATTATGATGTAATAAACTAAGGAGATAATATAATATCAAGATATCTCAGTTTTAAATTGTCCTTGTCAATGATATACAAATCTATATACCTTAAATTTTCTTGAATATTGACACATAATCTGGACTTTTTAAAGTTTTTGAAGTAAATGTAAAGCTAAATTCAGTGTTCATGTTCCTCTATTTATAAACTAATGTGTTATAATTTTTCTTTCAGTTATTCGTGCAACAGAAAAGCTACCTGTGATGGTTTATATTCACGGAGAGTCATACGAATGGAATGCTGGGAATCCTTATGATGGACGTGTTTTAGCAAGTTTCGGAAATGTCATAGTTATCACTATCAATTATAGACTTGGTGTGTTAGGTAAGTGTAACAATTTTAGCCTCTGTTTAATCACATTAATAATTCGAGTTGAACGACATTATACGAACATACTGAAATTAAATGCATAAATAGAAAGAAACAGAAAAATAAATGTTAACGTTATTTTGATTTATAAGAATTACTGTCCGTTTTTTATTAATGAAATATTTCTGTTATGAGTACAACTGCACTTAACGATACACTTCATAAAATGTAAAATGCAAAAATATAGAAATATTTTTGTCCTAAATAAATGTGGCTATATATTCAAGACTTGAAGATATTTCTCTAGATATGCAAGCATAACAAGAACCTATAATTATAGTCATATTTATAGCGTTATACCTTCCGGTGTACATTCGTACAGGACATTATTGAATGGATGCTGGTTGTGAAGGATTCCTCCCATTCTAAAGAAAAAAGAGAGTTCTAATATACTATCTCAATAGATGATCTAGATTTATTTTGCTTTCGACAGACATGAGCATATTGCACCAATCATTGTAATCAGCAATCGCTATAAGAAGAGCCGACCGTATTACGATTTAGAAACCTGATATTTTTAACGTAAATTTCCTTTAAATATTCATATATTCACATATAATAATATTTTAATAATATTCTGCTTTTCCGATGAAAACATCCGTCATTCAAACTTTTCTGGCACTAAAAATGATTAAATAAATACGCTTTTTAACCTTTAAAAAATGTAAAACGATTTCAAGCCTCAGTATTTATACTTATAAACTGTATTATAAACAAGTTAGGATTACACTTACGTTCTCACATGAATGTATTGATAAAACACTTCATAAATTCGAGCTTTCAAATAACTTACGGTAGTCAAAAGGAAGCGCAGTTTTCAAGATACCCTAAATGATGCAGACTACGAAACTATTAAGGTTTCTTTTTACACATGCGAATTGATTGGTTTTATATCAGAAATGCAAACGAAATGAGTTAATTTTCATTTACCAAAATTAATTACTTTAATCCCCTAAATGAGGATACCGAAAAATAGCACCGACTTGTTGGAGTCTATTAAAATGATTAAACTCATCCTCGCGTCGCTTCCGTGATACTAGCTAGCGTCCAATAGAAATATAACGCTTAAATGAATCAATTAAAAACGCTTTTCGTGTAAGTTTTATCTTAATTAGAACTCGCGAGCTCCAGTCATTCATAAATATTTGTTTTAATGGCTTTGTTCAAATGACTCCACTGGGATATTTCTTTAATTAATAAAGATCTTTGCCATACATTTTGAAACAGGAAACACGTATGTTGATTGAAATTGCTTTCTTTTACTCAACGTTTGTTTTTCTTGCGCATTTAAACACTAATCTCCTAAAACAGCCATGTTATACTAGCCATCACTTAACAACTGTCAACAACAGCAACAAAAAAGTGAGGAAAAGAAATTTTCGCTATCCAAAACAAAGTGCTGGGCGTAAAGTGACTAAAAAAATAATATAATACGTAATAATCACTAGAAAATTAAACGATAACAGGAAATAAAAGCTATTCAAGTAAGCTAAGAAAAATGTTACACAAAAATTCTAAAGTTTTTTTTTTCATAAACATTTGCCGCAAGGCCTGCTGGGAAAAAAAATTCAGACGACCGTTAATCAAGCCGTCTGATCACATGATCATTTTATTTTAACATTCAGTGTAACCAACGATCATCAGATCACATGAGCAGTTTATTTTTAACAACTCGCCCCCCCCATAAACCTCAGGAGGTTCATCAAACTTGTATATAAACAGTACACATTCATATTGCAAAAACACTGGAGTTCCAGACACAAGAAAAACATATATATATATATGTAGGGTTTACTTTAAAAAGAACACTGTAGAGCACAAGTTAAGCATAATTAACTATTTTATTTTACTAATAGGAAATAAATGAAGCAAAAGATAAAAAGTAAGCATTAATAATTCGGATGGCAGTCTCACGATGAAAGTAATTCCAAACAGTTCTATAGGATTCATGTTACGATAACTAACATACAGTCCACAATAAATACATTCAAAGGGCCCGTCTGCCCTTGTACGGCTAACTCGATGTAAGCATCTTGGAGGATCCGCAGGCCATCTGCCTACTTCCATTCCATCTCCAAGCTATCCGCTCTGGGCGTCGATTAGGTCTGAATGTCAGCATTTCCAACGGTCGTTTGCCGCTCTGCAAGCTGCGCTACGTCATGGCTTTCTGAGTTGAAGTAGAAGTAAAAGTAGTCGAAGAATCTACCTCTACATATATATCATCTAAATAACTGATAATTTAAATGAAACATTAAACAATTTAAATATAACATTATCCAAATTAAAAAACAAACAATATTCACCTTTTTTTTAAAGAAATATTATTCAAGGGCCCCTTAAAAGCATACCATGACTGTGTGAACTTAAGTACATTTTAAATTAGTAGATATGTGCATGGAAGTTACTAGAATTACAAATTTTAACAGAATAATTCAAAAAATGATAAGAAACTATAAAAGGATATACTCGCAATACAAATTTGTAAATTAACACTGAAGATAAACACTTTAGTTCTGAAGTTCTAAATTGTACAAGAATGTATGGGACGTCTGATATCCGGTTTTTACCTTGCAAGTCCTCACCCTGCCATTTCTTCCAGGAAATAACACAAGGATTGTCCCTAATCTCCAGAAATTTCGGGATAAATGATCCTCCTTAACTAAAACTATATCATTAATTTTAAATTCGATATATATCGATAGCCCGACGATCTGCTCAACAGTATCAAAACTGTAAACTTTAACTCTTTAACGTAACGTATACCTCATAGTTTAATACGTAGTGTTTGGTATCATAATTGCACTTGATAATATGAGTTTATTGATAATATGTGTGTGCGCGTATGTGAAGCATTGCTTAGTGTTCCAAGTTTGTAGTATTTCTTTTATTATATTATTTTCTTTCATTCTGAGAAATTCGATTTTTTTATTTATTAATTCGTAGAATTCTAGTATGCCTACACAGAATATGGCGTGATTTAGGAATTTTAGAAACTGATATGAAAGCTGTGTAATGATGTTCATATGCAATAAAAAATATTCTTGTTTCTTTATTAATGTAAAGTTTAAAATTTTTAGAAAATAATGAAAGTTGTCTAATTATTGGTATGTCAGGAATTATGTCGTTACGTAGCAAGAAGGTAATTTGTAAAAATGATAAAATTAAAATGTTCCACAATATGAATTTAAATAATTTTTTTAAAATTTGTATAAATTCTTTAATAAAATTCTTTGAAAATATTGAAGTCTACAAGTAGAAACTGCGACGTTGTTTATCGTTTTAATAATTGGTAGAATTCGCTCACTGTATCATGGTAATTTTAAATATAAACAATTTATTATACTTATTATCAGTAACGCCTAAGCTTAAATGTTATAAATGCAAATTAAAAGTAAAGAATTTGATATTAATTTACAATATAAACAATTTATTATTGTTATTTTTAAGAGAAAATAGAAAGTACGCGTAGTGTAAATGCGAGTTTACCATGGACCTTATAAGATCCATGGAGACTACATTGCGACGTCACAAGCTTAGTCCCACCCATTTATGGACGTCACACAGCTCTGCCTACTGAACTTTGTTGATGCAGCCTATTCTGCGTTTTTACCGCTTTTAATGAAGCATCAGAAAATATATGGATCTGCTAATTTTCTTCCCCTTCAAATTTGTGGCAGGGAAAAAATGTCAAGGAATTTTCAAATTTTGAAGTTCTTTAATTTCATTACACCATGCTTGCCATTTTTCTTTAATTTCCCCGGAAAACATTTCATCCCTTTCTAGACCTAACTGCCACAGCTCTTGTCACATATACTTCACACGAACTAGAAACGGAGAGATAAGTCCAGATGGATCAAAGCTTTTGTATTTTTGCGGCTGTTTTTATAATACAGAAAACAAATATTTTCAGTCATCTCTCGTGACTTGAATTTGAACGAATGCCCGTGCAATATTCCCACAGAATCCAATTTTACATTCTATAAATTTCAAGATAATATCTAAAATATAAGAATTTGTTTTTTTTCTGGGAAGCAGACATTTATTAAGACTATTACAACTTCCCTGTTTACTACTGATATCATAAAATACCCTAGTTTTAGTACTAGAAGAATCTTCCCTGAAAACATCTCTATGAGGCATTACATATCCAGTGAAACAATTATTGTTGCACATTTCAATAACCGCGTCAATGAGTTGTTCCTTCATAACTGCATTGTACCTCTCAAATAATAACTCATCAGCCTTAAACTTCTAATGCAGCAAAACTTTGTGTCGCGATTTCTAAATTACTAGACAAATTTCCTCGTAAAGTCTCAGACTTCCATAAAAGTGGTGACTCGAACTTTCCATTTATAAACCGTAACTTATAAACTTATAAACCGTAACTGCGTTTCGAATTCTGTAATATTATCGGACATTTTCTCCGTTCCATTCTCAAGAAAATAGGATTAAGAAGTCCACAAACATTTCAAATCATTTTCTACCGAAATACATGCAATCTTCAAACCGGAAGTGGAATTATGCAGACGATTTCCCGGAATCTGCCCTGTGATAGTATCATCGAATAATGTATTTTGAATATATAAGTTTTTATTTATTTTTTTTAACTTTCCCGATTAGTGTCGAATACATAAAATCGGCGCCTAAGAATATCTGGGCTGGATTGTTATCTCGTCATGCTTCAGAAATTTCATAGACGTGTGGAATTAAATCATTTAATAATTCAGGTTTGATATTAGAATACGTATGAACGCCGCTGATTTCATCAGTTACAAAAGCTTGGATATCTATGCTAGAATAAGGAGGATATTTGCTTCTAAGAGTAAACGAGAAGAGAGATTAAAGACTTCAAAATCCTTCTCATAAGGGTTACACTTTGCGAAAGTATAAACTAAAAGCTTTTCTTTCTTTATGGGCTGCACATTTAAAGCTCTTACTAAATCTTTTCGAATAAA